ATTTGAGAAAAATAAAGCCATTTTATTTAAACCTTCATGAGGATGTTTGCTAAATACATTAAATATTTTTTTTTTAAATTGAAAAATAAGAGGAACTATGACTTCAAATGAAAATATTTCTATTGTGAGAAGCCTGTGAAATGCTGAGGTAGATTTGCTTTTGAAGTATGCTTCCTAGTGACACCTATGAAGGTTGAAGTTTTCAAAAAGGGGTAGAGGCCATGAATTCATAGCGTTACAGGCAGCAATAGTAATCTATAATTTTCTGTAACCACTTTAAGAAACTTTTAGTGACTGGGTGCGGTGGCTCATGCCTGTAATCCCAGCACTTCGGAAGGCTGAGGTGGGTTGATCACCTGAGGTCTGGAGTTCAAGACCAGCCTGGCCAACATGGTGATGCCCTACCTCTACTAAAAATACAAAAATTAGGCAGGTGTGGTGGTGGGCGCCTGTAATCCCAGCTACTTGGGAGGCTGAGCCAGGAGAATTGCTTGAATCTTGGAAGCAGAGGTTGCAGTGAGCTGAGATCATACCACTGCACTCCAGCCTGGGTGACAGAGCCAGACTTCATCTCAAAAAGAAAAAAAAAAAAGCAACCTTCAGAAAAGAAAGTTTTGGTGATGGACCACCATGCCATTTTCTTCTACGTTGAGCCACCAATTACTAAGCTCTAGTATATCAACTGTATAGGAGAAGCTCCCACTATGCTACACGAATTAAGAATTTTATGTCCACATGGCAGGATGTTTGCATTTTAAAACAACCATTTTGTAAACTTTGTAAGAACAAGTCTAAATCCCAAATCATTAGTTGGATGACTTCATACTTACCACCTAAAGCAAATTTTTGATCATGTGGAGACAACTTTCTGGCCACCTATCTACTCTTTTATCATCTGTCATGTGGTCCTTTTGGAGATAGCTACCTGCTGACTGTTCACTCTGTGTAGTCCCTCATACAAATCCAAAGACTAATCTTACTGAGTAGTCTCTCATTCTCATCTTTCATAAAGCTCTTGACTTCATTCGTCCCTAGACATTTTATGTATCTTATTTTGTACACAAAAAATGCCTGGTTTTGAATTGTTGTTCATAAAATACTTAGGTAGCAATTACTAAGTGTCATGTGCCATGTTCCAAGTGTTTCACAAATACGAACTTTGACTATTCATAGCGATACAGGAGTTAAGAGGAAATTACTTAGGCAGATAGGGTATGGAAGTCCTCGGTAAGGTTTTTCTTTTTAATGAAAAGCAACCCCAAATCATTTTCTAACAAAAAGCAGCTGCAGACACAGACAAGCAAGCTGGACGCTGGCACCAGTGAATGCTGGTAGAAAATAACTACCTGAGATTAAGCATTTTCAAAATGGGGGGGCTCCCTCTTCCCTTCCCTTTACCAACCACATGTAGAGTAAAGAGCAGAGAAGGTAGTCCTGGTCAAGTGGAAAGTCTATTTGCATAATAAGGTTAGGATGGGATGGCCAGCCTTCCCGTATGCTATGTAAATGTGACATCTGATTAAACCAATCCGTGGGCCCTATGTAAATCAGACACCGCCTCCTCCAGCCTGCCTATAAATTCTGCTGCAGTAAGCCTGCCTTCCTCTATTTCTGATGTTTCTCTTTCTCTCTGGCAAGGGGCTGCTCTCTTCTCTCTTTTCGTTTTTCTATTAAATTTTCTGCTCCTTAATCCACCCACATGTGTCCATGCCCTGAATTCTTTCTCCGCATGAGACAACAAACCACGGGTAATTCCCCAGACAATGCAGCCATTCACTGGTAACTCTACAGAGTTGGTACTATTATTCTACTCTCATTCTACAAATGAGAAAACTGAGCCACAGGCAATATGTTTCTTTTCTATAATCATGTAAGGCCATATCTCTATATTATCATTCACAGTAATAGTAATAATTGAATCAAGAAGACAGGAGGGACTGTGCCAGCAGTTTATATATGTCATCTTATTTAATTTTCCAAAAACCTGAGAAAATAGGCTCAGAAATTTAAGCAAATCATCCAAGATCACAAATTTTAGGGGGATTACTCTTAATTTGAACTCATTTCATCAAACTCATAGCCCAAACTCTATCGACGACATTAATCTACCCTCCTCCCCACTTCTCAGAGATGACATTGACATGTGAATAAAGAGAGCTGTGAAGGGTGATTATGCACCTAGAAAACAGGTTGCAATGAAATTCTCAAATAATAATTATTTGATAAAGGGACTGGATTCTTTTAGGCTCCACTTGAAACAGTTAAGCACCATGCAAGTACTTCACCTATAGTTCCTATGACAGTAGAGCATGTATATGATAAAATATGTTTTATTAAAGTAGAAATTGAATAGTAATGTCAAAGAGTTAATAAAAGTATTTAACAACAAATCCTAATTTTTTTGCCCACCTGCTCTTGCATATCTTTGTAAACTTTTCTTCCACACGATCCATAAATGCACTGTATGCATCACGCGGCCTTCTGTGTCTCTGAAGGAAGACGGTACGAAGGAAGTGAGTAAAAGCAGACAGACATGTATTAACTTTAATTGTTTATTTGTTAAAATTTGCTATTTAATAATCTTTGCTTTAAAAGCATATCTGTAATCCAGATTCACATCTTGTTCTGCTTAGACTTAAAGGGCTTACAAAACATCCTTACGTGACTAGGGCAGAATTTCAGCCTGGGTTAAAGTATGTGCTCCAACATTTTATTTTTATGATTGTATCGCAGAGCTGACTTTTCGGGCCTTCTCATGTGAGTGTCATTCACTGAACTTCTGGTGATTCCCAATGACATAAGAGGAAATTTTGGAAAATTTTCTTACAATATTTAAGCCTTAGTAAAACAAAAATAAAACTCTACGCCCTTCACCCCTCAACCAAATGAATGGCCCCCTTTCATGAGTGAGGGGACACAAAGAAACCTCAAAAGAAAGTTCAGGCTCTGATGGGAAGAAAAGGTGGGACAAGGCTCATTATAGCCTCCTCCCTTTGGAATTCAGGTGCAACTCACCAGCATTAACATTAAAACAGAGACCTTAAGACTGACAAAACAAACAATCTTATTGTAGCAATAAGATACCCATTTCAACCCAACTAGTGTAGCATTACATGACAGATACCAGCTCTGAAGGAAATAAAAGTATTTCACCCCCAAATGTACTATGTTTTGGCGTATTTCAAAATGGCCCTGCAATGCTGTCGCTCTTTTGCAGACAGTCTCATATCTTTTAAGATCTGATAAGACCTTCATATCTATTGTCTCTGAAGCCTGCTACCTGGAGTCTTCCACTTCAAGACAAGAACCTTGGCTTCCACAATCCCCACTCTTTACCTTAACTCAAGCTTACTTAACCCCTCTAGACAAAGTTAACTCTTTCAACCAATTGCCAATCGGAGAATCTTTGAATCTAAAGTAGGAGGTGGGACTCAACTCCAGACCAGATGGAAGACTGGTTGAAACAGGGAAGAGGCATTGAAAGCATCTCTCCAAGAGACAGCCCTGCTAGTGTCATGACCATTGACCATTGCGATGTCAGCATCCGGAAGGTACCACCACTTTTCTAGGGATTTCTGGATAACCCACCCCTTAATTTGCATGTAATTAAAAGTGGGTGTAAATATGACTGCAGAAGTGCCCCTGAGCTGCTACATGGGGATTGCGCCTATGGGGTATCTCCGCTTCTGCTGCTTATGCACACTGCTGCTTCAATAAAAGATGCTGTCTAACACCACAGGCCTGCCCATGAAGCCATGAACCTTCCCAGCCTATGCCCAGTTTTGGGGCTTGTCTGCCCTACTTCAAATGTACTTATGACCTGGAAGCTTCCAAGATTCGAGGTGTCCTACATTTCCAGGCCAAATCAATGTATACCTTACATGTATTGATTTATATTTTTGCCTATAACTTCTGTCTCCCTAAAATGTGTAAAATCACACTGTAAACTAACCACCTTGGGCCACATGTTCTCAGGACCTCCTGAGACTGTTACAGGTTGTGATCATCAATTTGGCTCTGAAAAAACCTCTTCAACTGCTTTACAGAGTTTGGCTTTTGTCATCAACACCTTATTCCACTATACCAATTCTCTTTGCAATAAGAAAAGAAAATCCAAAATTTTAGATAATCCACTATTTGCATTAAAAAAAGCAGAGACTATATGCTTTATTTTTGAAGACATAAATATATTTTACACTGCAAGGAATAAAAAACTCCTGCACTAAAGCAATTGTTGACTACAGTGCGGGAAGCATTTCCAACAGCTACAGAGAAAGTCAAACTCACCGTATATGAAGCAGATCTAACAGGCCATGGGGCTTTCGTCAAAATTAGTTTTGAATCCCAGGTGCATTCACAACCCTTGTGGGTGATAAATTTTTCTGTAGTGTTCTTCTGTTTATCGTCTTTAAGTAAATGGCATCCATGTACTAGAGATACGAAGAAAAATGAAAAGCTTAGCAATGACACGTATTTGTTCATGATGTCTCTCAGATGTATCATTTTTGGAGATCAGGACACAGAAGGGGTAAGTTGCTGAATAATTTATAGATATAAATCTAAAAAAGCCTCTTCTTATTTTTTCTGCCAGTTCTGCAGGAATTAATTTTGTCTTTCTTCAAACTCCACTTCCAATCCCGTCAGTTATTTCTCTGGATGTGTCTTTCTAAAGTATCTCCTTTGGGATAGTATATTTCACATTAACATTTTACCTTAGGTTTTACTTAAAATATTTTTAAGCTTGAGGGCCTTATAAAGTATCTTTGGCATTTTCTACCAAAAGGAGTTACACATAGCATATACTAGAAAAGTTGACATGTTCCATTTTAATTACACACCTAGATGACACTTTTTATAAGTATAACACATGCTAAAATGTGTACATTATTTTAAACTAAATTATCGTAGTTTTACGGGTATAAAATTATTTGCTCCTCATTTTGAAAAAGAGGAAATAAATTGTTACTGTGAACTCACTATTTAGAGACAATCACTGTTAACATTTTGTTTTATATATAATTATAATATATAAATATAGCATTCAGATATTATCCATCCTAATCCAAATAAGAAATGCTAAACAATACAAATTAACTCTGAATTAACACTTAACAAATGGCTCCATAACAGTAATAATAGCATGCCTGTTTGTAGGTTATTTCCATGTGCTTTTTAATACATTACTAAGTGCCTTTAGCATATTTAAGGCTCACATTAATTCTACGATGTAGATACAGTTGTTATCATCTGCATCTCCAGATGGGGAAACCGCTAGGTAGACAGTTTAGGTGATTTGGGGCAGTAAAGCCAAGATTCAGAGTTGCACAGCGTGGCTCCAGAGTTTATTCTCTTAAACATTACAGTCCATTTATTCTCTATACATGACACATTGAGTCACAAAAATTACCTTCAATACTATAGTAACAGTTGTGGTAGCAAAGTAAATGTATTGTTGCAAATAATTAAAAAGGCATTTAAAAATTTACCATATTATTAAAGTTGATAATAAAATCCACCTGTTTAGCTTTAAGCTTTTACAGTTAATACTATTAACATATAACACAGATAGTTTATTTTTTGCAATATTCATAACATCATAACAGCTCACCTGTACTTAAGGATTGTGACTTAAATTTTAATCCAAAGGGGTCTTTTTCATAAGTTGTCTTAAACTCAGGTAAACCAGGTTGGTACTAGATATGTAAAGAAAAGTTTGCAATATTACCAATACATACATTGTTTCTTATTGTAGTTGGAATTTGATTTTTCCTAATAGCAAATATTTCATTTGCAAAATGTAATTTTGACAATTTTGTTGTGGCATTCAAATGTAGTATTTAAAACTTGTTTATGAAAATTTGAAAGAATAATCTAAGATTTAAATAGTTTACAAACAATTCATTTTGTGGTGGAGAGGAGTACGTCAATTACCCTTTTGTGTATAGATCAGAAATATTATCTTAAACAGCGTGGAATTAAGGGAGTCTGTTCAAAATTTGGCAACTTAATCCTAAACTTGATCTTAATTTATGACAGATAGAATTACATATTATTTTTCTGGAGCTGAACTTATTTCAGCAATGTAGACAAAATATTGAACAAAGCTAAATAATTTGTCAAACTTGGAATAGAGTTCCTATTGTTTTTTTTTAAATAAGCTATAAACAAAGTAACAGTTTTAGTGGTTTTAATGAACCAATTTTAACTGAAATAGAATTTGTACACTCCATGAACTGATCAAATAAAACATCACAAAGGTCTCTACTCAAAAGCTAAGTAAATGTGGCATGAAACAGTGAGAGTACCAAGCAGAAGTTAAACAGGATTCTATTCTTAATGCGTCAACTGCCACAAGCACATAGAATAATATTAAAAGTTCCGAAGAAGGAGATTCTCTAATACAATATTTTTGAGTCTTTTTTTTTTTTTTGAGACGGAGTTTCCCTCTTGTTACCCAGGCTGGAGTGCAATGGCGCCATCTCCGCTCACCGCAACCTCCGCCTCCTGAGGCAATTCTCCTGCCTCAGCCTCCCGAGTAGCTGGGGATTACAGGCACGCACCACCATGCCCAGCTAATTTTTTGTATTTTTAGTAGAGACGTGGTTTCACCATGTTGACCAGGAGGGTCGAACTCTTGACCTCGTGATCCAACCGCCTCGGCCTCCCAAAGTGCTGGGATTACAGGAGTGAGCCACTGCCCACAGCCCCGATTTTAGAGTTTTAATTGAATTCAACACGAAACCAAGTTCCTTTCAAAAAAGCCTTCATTGAGGTTTAATTTGTGACAATACTGACATCTGGTGGTTACATAATTTATAACACTCTGCCTCCAATTCACTCATTTATAGAAGCAAGTTAATTCTGCTAAAATAAAAATGTCCCCCATTCCTTGAGTTTTATTTACTCAAATTTTGTAAGTCTGTGGTTAGTAAAGTACTTATTTTTAAAATATATTTATTTTTAGACAGAATCTTGCTCTGTTGCCCAGGCTGGAGTGTAGTGGTGTGATTTTGACTCACTGCAACCTCTGCCTCTGGGGTTCAAGTGATTCTCCTGCCTCAGCCACCCAAGTAGCTGAGATTATAGGGGCATGCAACCACGCCTGGCTAATTTTTGTATTTTTAGGAGAGACAGAGTTTCACCATGTTGGTCAGGCTGGTCTCAAACTCCTGACCTCATGATCTGCCTGCCTTGACCTCCCAAAGTGCTGGGATTACTGGCATCAGCCACCATGACTGGCTTACTAAAGTCTTTGAATAAACCACTGACATTTAATATTTAAATGACCTTCCTCATCTCCACAAGGTAACATATGTTATTTACTATGAATCAAAGTATTTAGCTGCCCTGAAAACGTGAAGAGAGTTATTGACTATGGCTCCCTGGATTTTCCAAATATTCTCCTAATAGTTCATAGAGTTAACATTAATTGAATACCTTAACATTTCAAATTCTGCTGTGCTTTGCATATGTTTCATTTATAACTTAAAATAACCATATAAAATATGTAGCATTGCTAACCCACATTATAAATAATGAAAAAGGCTTAGTATCTTGTCTAAAGTTATTAGAAAGTAAAAGAGCAGGGATACTCTGATCTCAGAAGCCATGCTCTTAACTACTATTCTATACTTTCCCACAGGAATACATTTATTCTTTTATCTCACTATTTCTAGATCCTGGACTATTAGTTCTACTGTTAAACTCTTTGCCTAGCAAGAGTCATTTTATGTGCTAAATTAGAAACCTAAGAGTGTAATATATTCACATTTTAGTGGAATTATATTTGGCATAAATCATATTTGACCTTATTTGCATCTCCATATTCTTCATCACCCTTTCAAATTATAAATCTAATTATTGCCCATACATTATTTAAATTATTAATCATCCAAAAGATTCATTAAAATAATAGAATATCCCTTTTTAACTATTTTTGTTCATTCATTAATTTACTCCACATATTTATTTTATTATTTCTAGATTATAAACTCCTGGCAACCGATGTCTGTTCTCCAATCAGATCTAAACCCAATCTGTTCTCTTGAAACCTAAGAAAGTCCACATCAGAGTTGGCCACTCGACCTGCCAGATAAAACCTCATCAGAAACAATCAGGTTCTTACTCTCTTTTCTATCATTTATTGCTAAATCTGAATTGCATTGTTCTGTGAGAAAAAAAAAGATACATCCTTATACACATTATATCATCTTTTTCCTATATGCAATAGTTTTTCTCATGAAGAAATGAATAAAAAATAATACATAGTTCCCCTTATCTATATTAAAGTGTTTTTATTCAAATTCTCTGTTGTACCTGTCGAAAGTCATGTGGTTTGGGACTGACATATACACCCTTTGGATATTGTCCACTCTTCACAAACATTAACTTTGCTTTCTGTGAATCCAGACGTGGAAATGTAGTTATAAATTTAGGAGCTATGGCCTTCTTAGGATGATTCCTTATGCTAGGCAAGTGAAGCATTATTTCTGGAAAACTGCTTTTGTTTCTCCTTTTTTCTTCCTTAAAGAGTTGGGATGGTCTTTCTGGAATTCCCAAAGAGGTATACAGTTTGTAGCTAAAATCAGGTGGCTTTATTTCCCATACATTAACTTTCGTTTTACATTGTGGAGGTTGCAGAACACTTTTTTTCCATTTGGAGTTGAGATCCTGTCGTGAAGAATATTGCAGCCTCTTTGCAATATTCCTATCTCTTGTGCCTCTCTGAGACTCATGATACATTATGTGGCAGGCGTTTTCACATGGTGGAATCTGCAACAGACAGGGAAATAGGTGAAGCTTGTCACTATAGCAATGGTGTATTCAACATTTTTTCTCCAAGCAAAGTTAATCTTTGAAAGATTTATGAAGCAGGAAAAAGGTCAGAAATGTCAGGAAATGAGTATGGAGGAGAAGGAAAAAAGGATCGTTGCTGCAAATATTTATTCAGAACCTTTGTCACAGCACTCACTGCACTAGGGCTGGGATTTTTAAAATGATTGACATAAAATCCATGTCCTTGAGTAACTGAGATGCTACTTAAAAGAAAAACATAAAAACTGAAAATAAAATCTGTGTAATAGGATAGATATTACAAGTATTATGAGAAGCAAGGAGATTGGTCAACTAGCTTTATCAAGAAAATAGATGTGATGTCAAGAGCTGTCATTTGACTGATCTTGAAAGGTAAGTAGAAACATTCCAGGTGGTAAAGGAAAGCAATAACGTTTCACCTAGAAATAGAAAGTATGTGAAATTCGTCATTACCTATTTTTATGACACCTGTAGCTGCCTAAACCATCAGAAGTACATTGTAATTACTACTATTGAAACTTATAGATGAGAATCATGGATTTGCTTTTTTCTGACTAGCCAACCAGTGACAAGGAAATCGTTATTACACTTCTCAGACTTAATGACGTTATCAATATATTACTGGATGATTCAATGAGTTCAAAGTCTCCTTGGAAAGGCTAATTACCAATTAAAATATATTTGGTGAAGGAGAAATAGTACAACAATGCTGGTTCCTGGGAAATAAGGACCTGAGGTGCGGATGAATTTCCTTTTCTTGTGCTATAATTTTGTGTTGTTTCATTACAGCATCAAAATAGAGGGCCCAAATTCTACATGCTAGTTTTCAATATACTAAGTTGTAAATGAAGGGAAACTACTGTGAATGAAAGGAAACTATGCTTCAGATATGTTGAAAATATCCATTTTCAAAAATTTTTAACATTTTGCAATGATGGATTGTTTTCCAAATACGAATATACATATTTTTGTTTTATAATGGGGTATGCTATACTGAAAAAAAAGCAAGAAGCATGTAAAAGGAGCATAGCTTCCCTGTGAAGAGACAGTGAAAAATGGTATGATGGGGAAAACTAGAAAAATTAGTTGGAGTTATGTTATTAAAAGTCTTTTATGCCACACTAAGAAGTTTTAAACTCATCAAAGAGACAAAAGGGAACAAATTAAAAAATTACAAGAGGAAAATAGTTAGCAAGTTATTTGTATTTCAGAAAGACCACGTGGTAGCAGTATGGAGGACAGCCTCAAAATAAAAAGTGAAAGCTAAGGCAAAAAGAAAAAAAAAAATCCCAAACCCAACATAGCAACAATTTAGATGACAGACAGTTAAAAACTCAAACAAAAATGTAGCATGAAGATGAGAAAGGGAGGTTGTTCTTATGAGCTACTTAGCAAATTTAATATCTTAGGCTTTGTTTCAAATAGATTGCAGTTTATTAACCAAAATAGGGAATAAAGGAGAGGAAACAGTTTACAGAAGAAGGTCAGGTAATCAGTAGATTTCAACAAAAACTGAACTTCATACTAATCATAGAAAAAAAATGACAGCAGATACACAAATGAAAAAGAAAAAGGAATCAAGGTTTATCACTATAGAAAACAACCAAACCACAAAGATAATAAGAAGGGAAGAAAGACAGAAAGATAGACAAAGCAACCAGAAAACAATGAAGAAAGAGAGTATTCTTCAAGCGTCAATAAAAACGTTCAATGTAAACAAGTTAATTTCCCCAATTAAAAATTATAGACTGAATGGATTTTAAAAAGACTCTATTACATGCTTCCTATAAGAACCGCACTTCACCTGTAAAACACACCTAGACTGAATGTGAAGGGATGGAAAATATTCCAGGCAAATGGAAACCAACAGTTAGCAGAAGTAACTATGCTTATTTCAGACAAAATAGATTTTTAAAAAATGTAAAAAGAAACAAAGAAGGCCATTATATAATGATAAAGAAGTATATTAAGGAAGAGGAGATAACAATAGCAAAAAGATGTGCACCCAGCACTGGAGCACCCAAATATATGAAACAAATATTATTTTATCTAAAGGGAGAGATAGCAATACAATAATAGTAAGAGACCCTAAAACTCCTCTTTTAGAAATGAACAGAACTTCTAGACAAAAATCAGTGAAGAATCATCAAAGTTAAACTGCACTCTAAAGCAAATACACCTAATGGACATTTACAGAACATTCCACCCAGCAGCCAACAGAATATATGTTCTTCTTATTTACAAATATAACTCTTTCCAGAATAGATCATACATTAGGCCACAAAGCAAGTCTAAGCAAAATTTTAAAAGATTAAAAACATTTCAAGTATCTTTTCTGACTACACTGGGATAAAAATAGAAATCAGTAACAGAAGGAACTGTGGAAACTATACAAATACCTGGAAATTAAGCAACATGTTCTTGAACAACAAATGAGTCAAAGAAAAAATTAAATTTGTTGAAACAAGTGAAAATGGAAATACAACCAAAACCTATGGGATACAGCAAAAGCAGTTCGAAGAAGGAAGTTTACAGCAATAAACATCTTCATCAAGAAACCAGAAATATCTCAAATGTAGAGACAGGTTCAAGATGCTGTCTAGAGGCATCAGGCACTTGCCTTCTCCAGACAGAAGTAACAAAACTTAACCAATAAGATCATCACACTTCACATAGAACATCTAATAGCAAACATTGGAGTTCAACAAAGACGTCACAGGAAATACTTGTGATACAGAAGGAGAATAAAGCAAGTGACCAGCTCGGCCAAGATTGTCTGGGAGCCCATAGTAGCTCCTTATTGCAGAGAAAGAATAAGTGGAAGACCCTCATTGGCTTACATCCTTACTGCGGATTGCTGCAATCCTAACCATGGGAGAGATGCTCCACTCACATTAGGTCTAAGACTAGGGTGGATGTTGATCTGGAGACCCAGTGAAGGCACTGTACCACATAGAAAATGTACTGGGTCACACTCACCCTTGAGACCTAAGTGGCTGCCACATAGCACCATTGTGAGAGTCTAGTCATCACCACTCTGGATCCTGCTCTGGGAACAACAGCTCTCATATTGCCACATCCTAGGAACCTCTGTTTATATCCCCTGGTATCCAACACTGGCTGAGCCCATGGATGCTTGGGTTCTCCAGGACTTTTGTCTCACAGAGTACTATTCCCTGGAAAAAAAAATGGTGCAGCACACCAAGGAGGCAGCCACTGGGCACAAAGAAGGCCGAATTACACGCTTTCCAGAGCTGGAGAGCTTTCTGTCTGGGGCTTTGTTAAGTACCTTCACCTCTAACTGTGTCACACACTATGCTTGGTTTCACAGTCAGAGTGGGACATTTCCCCTACCCCTGCACAGTGCTATAGCAGTTGCTGCCAGCAGGAGCCAAGGCAAGCAGGCCTGAGAGTTGTCTGACTGGGGCTGGAAGAAGTGACCCCATCCCGGCTGGCAGAGTCACCTCTGTACTTGAACTTAGCATAGAGAATGGGATCTCTCCTCACATTCCACTACTGCTGCAGCTGCTCTTGCTGCCACCAGGGGCTGGATGGGCAAGAGAGGGCTGCTTGTCTGGGGCTGTGAGTTGCAACTGTCCTCCCACTAGCAGTGTGGCCTGTGTATGAATCATGCTCACAGAGGATGGGGTTCTTTCTCACTTCTGTTTGGTGCTGTTGCTTCTGCTGCCTCCAAGAGCAGGTGAGCCTGAGAGCTGCATGTCTGGGCTGTGGGTGGTGACCTTGTCCCTCTGGAAGTATGGTCATGTGCTACCAAGAGAGGGTGGGATCTTCATCTCCATCCTCTGCGAAATGCTGAAGTCACTACTGCAGCTGGGAGCTGAAACAAGTGCAACCTAGAACTGGAGACTCCTTGTGCCAACCTGCCCATACCAACAGCACAGCTTCTGTGCTCTAGTGCACATCTGAAAATCAGGCTCCTCACACTCACCACTACAGTCATTGCTGCTACCAGAGATTACAAGCAGTGCTCAGGTTCTCGGTTCACTTCCCAGAGCCTGAGCGCTGCTTGTAGGAGACTGCTGATAGCAACCTACCCATACCAACAGCAGGGCCACTGTGCTTTCTAGCACAAGCCCTAAGATCAGGTATCCATACCAACCACCACATGTTGTCTCAGCTTGTCCACTACAGCCTATGCCCCTGCACACCATCAGGGGCCTGAGGACAGACACTCCAGATTGGCACCACATCTCCAAGCCTGAGCACACCACCCAAGGACTTGGTGATTCTTCTATCCATTCCACCACTTATACCATCTATTCACTCTCCCCAGGAACCTGAA